AAAAAAAGTTATGAAATTCTAACTGACTATTTGCGTATGAGATTAATTTTAGTGTGAAAACTGTTAACTTAGTAAAATTAATTAAGTTTTTAATGTCCTTAAATTATTTAAAATTAAAAATTCACTTCTTGTATCTTATGTGTTGACACGAAACGACAATGTGCAGTACAGCACGGATAGAAAGTCTCGAGTTTTATATTATACACAAAAATTAAGAATTAAAAGTTGACTATATGAACAATAGTATGTTCAGATTAAATTGTGGATATTTATAGACCAATAATAACATAGTTAACAAAGGGCAATGACCGCAAATACGGTGATTATAATATACCTACGTCCTACATATTGTAACGAAGTTAAAGGTCACTGTTGATACAGTACTTTGATGTAAGAATATATAATATGGACTTAACAACCACTACGTGAATACATATTTTGGTTTTATATTTTTTTTTTAATTTTCTTCTTTTTTTTTTATAGAGAGAGTGTGTGTGAGAGAGAGAGAGAGAGGTATCTTTTTTTTAAATTATCTGTTTGTAATTTTTCTATGTAAAATATCACTAATAGTACGTCTAGATAAAAACATAGATTAAAGTTATAATGCAAAAATCTGAGTGTTTCGACATATTTACAATATGACACAGTTTTATATGGTCATCGATACTTTTTCTGTACGCTTTGTACACAAACTATACAGGTATATTATAATATTCGCATATATTACAAACGTAAAATTCCGCATTTATTAAGTGTATAAATATCATTATATAGATATATAAGAGTATTGACATAATAATAAATAAAATATTTGAAAATGTTGTATATAATTTAAACAAATTTTCAAAAACGTACTCAAAATTCTCTCACCCGGGTCTTATTCTATCTCTACTACTCTCCTCTAAACAAAGGTCAACATATTATATTGTGAAGCTATCATATTTTAGACCATAACGCTTTACTTTCCATCGTTACATGATTCGTCGGTGCCTTATATATTAATATTATATTTAATTTAAAAAAAAAAAAATACAATACAATACAATAACAAAATTATCACAAAAA